GTCCCTAGAATGGTGACATCATAACAAACACCACCAAGCAATTTGAAGACCCTCTTTGTCTAGAAATAGATTTCCTGATACTTACCAAATTTTCCTTAGAAATGAAGAGAAAATATTGAATTCATACTACTTTCTGGATATTGTTAGATGTTAAGTCTAATATAGCCCCAATACAGAAATATATCTCCATTCTCCAGATAGAGATTGGTTTCAGAGACATGAACATAACTAGTTGAGTTAATAAAGGGCTCAAATGGAAATAGCTTGGTTTCTTTAAAAAAAGCAGCATGGAAACTGCCCTGATGAATTTAATTTGATAAGTATTGTATCATATAAATGAGCAACCCCACAAAAGAAGACAGAGCTGAAATGTGAACTCTTTCTAACACATGGGAAGATATTGGCCTTGCCATTAATCCCCAGGTCCTGACTAGTTCTATAAGGCAGTGAACCAGGAGGGTCCAGAAAGCACCCAGATAATTCCTGAAAATGTGTCTAAGGTTCTGCATTCTGCAGGCATCCCCAGGGGATGAGTTAGTCATTCTGTGTGGCTGAGGTAAGAGCAAAAGGACCAACTTCTGGGAAATCTACCCTTACTGGAAGTCAAAGAGACCACAGCTGACACGGCTCATGGCAAATATTAGACAGTGAACACCACTGGATTCTCCTGAAGAGGCATAGCTATTTCCTAACTGTTCAATGTTTTCACTAAAAAACACACTTAAAAGGAACAAAGAGAAGGCCAAATAATTTTTCATTTAGCATAAACCAAAAATATATACAAAAAGAACCTCAATAATATTAGTGTTAGACTACTTAGACTCTTAAGGAAAATGAGATTATGGAATGACAAGAAGAAGATAGAATGCTTGTTGCACTATGAATATGAATACCAAATAAACTCAGAAAATAAGGACAATATTAGAAACATCATTCGACTTATATATAGATAGACACTATAAGTCTGTTTATCTAGAAATATACATCTTACAGAAACAGAACAGATTACTCCTTTGAATATATTTGGTTTTACAGTTGGCTACAAAAGAGCCCAAAACAAAAATACTATTCCAGAAAGTAGAAATTTCCCAGTCATTATTTCTTATTGTGAGCTAAATAATTAAGAGTTAAAACTCAATTACTGCAAATTAAGTTACATTTAAATTAGCCTGAGATTAAAATAAAAACATGAACTATTTATGAAATTATTTTAAAATTTTCTTAAGATGAATGTGCCAAAACAATACAGAGAAACCCTGTTTCGTAAAACCAAAAAAAAAAAAAAAAGAATGTGTTATAACAGGCCAAATTCAGAAAAAATGTGCTTTTACAGGAATGAAATTATTTAACTTTAAATATTTTAAGAATACTCAAATAAATCTGAAGAAAGTGGAAGCCATGAATGAGAAAAGATGTTTACAAAGGATTAATACTCATCACTGCTATACTGATAACACATCAAAAGTGAGAATATCCCAAATGCTTGTTAGCATAAACAGAATAGTTATGTTATGTTCCTACAATAGAAAACTACTTAGCAATACAGTGAAATAAACCACAGGCTATGTTACAATATGGGTAATCTCAAAAAAAGCAGATTATCTCTTAGAATCTTGAAATAATAAGCATGTACTATTTATCCCATGCATGTAAAATTAATGCTATTGGGAAGCAGACCACTGGATTGGGATCAAACTATTTGGAGCATCAGATGAGGTGAGGAGCATGGTTATTCATACACATATAATCAGTGCATTTTGAGGTGACAAAGATACTGAATGTGTTAGCATATTGTATAGTAAATATGATGGTTTGAATAGGAATGACCTTCATAGGCTCACATATATGAATGCTCGGTCATTAAGGAGTGATGTTCCTTGACAGGAATTAGCCATGTTGGAGTAGGTGTGTCTTGTTGGGTTGGGCTTTGGGGTTCCAAATGCTCAAGCCAGGCTGAGGGTCTGTCTCTCTCTTCCTGCTGCCTGCAGATGCTGCTGTGGAACTCTCAGCTACCTCTCCAGCACCATGTCTGCCCCAATGCCACCATGCCATGATGACAATGGACTAAACCTCTGAACTCATAAGCATGCCCCCAATGAACTGCTTTCCTACTGAGACACTAAACAACACTGATTTTTTTTTCAAATGAGATTTTCAAGTGTTTCTACCTAACATATTCTACAGTGTAGCAGAACCCTGGGGTATGTGTTCTTAGTACCTGCAGTTCATCTTGCCCAGGAGGAACCCAAGATGCAATTATACCACAATCCTAAAGCTTTATAACTCTAGGCATTTCTTCCTACTCTACATATTTATTTATTTGTCCATTTATTATTTATTTATTTAATTAAAGACGTGTTCATTTTTATTTTATGTGTGTGTTTGTCTGCCATATGTATGTGCACCATTTGCACACCTAATACCTGTGGAGGTCAGAAGGCCTTGGGTCCCTGGGTTCTGGGACCTGAAGCCAGGTCTTCTGCGAGAAGTGTTCTTCACCACTGAGTCACCTCTCCAACCCCTCTACATTTTTTTAAGTGATCGGACTCCTTATGTCTCCAAAGTTAGTTATATTAGGGTACTGGCTACATCGGAAGAATGATTCTGTAAGACACCAACAAAAGTCCAGAAGCCAACATTTGTTCTCCAAATGCCAATACTGTCCATATGTGTTTATTTAAATATTTATTGTGCTTAAACTTTTGAAAGAAAGATGATGAACCTCTGCCATACGACAATATTGCAAAACCAAAATTAATAAAATAGCACGCTTGGCTGAAAGAACTTGAGGGGATCCGTGATGAAGCGCACACATGCTTTGAGGACAGACTTCAGCCAGTTCTGCGAACTTTCTGTGCATCAGTTACCTGCTCAGTGAGAGACCACACTTAGGCCATAGGATTGCGAAAGGCTGCATCATGTGATGCATGCCCAGTGCTTGGTGCACACTGACTCATCACAGTACACGAAGTGTTATCCAACGTTCTTATCTAGAGTTTTCATTCTAGGAAACAAATGAATCTAAGTTGTCTTCATCAGAGCCATGCATGGCTGGAGGGAATTTCCAGAGACTAAGAAAAGCCCCGGGAGCCTTAAGAACCAGAAGACTTAACATTTTATGCTTGCCTCGTCTAAAGTGAAAGGCAAAAGACTAGATGTCTGAAGTTTCTATTTGCAATCTCTAGATAAAAATGTTCGTGACCTATTGTGTGTATATTAGAAAAGCCTCTTTGTTATGAGTGCATACACACCATCTTTGTCTTTCTGGAACTGAGATACCTCATAGGATGTGTTTTTCTAGTTCCTTCCATTTGCCTGCCAATTTCAAGATGTTGTTTTTTCACTGCTGAGTAGTACTCCATTGCGAAAATGTACCACATTTTCTTTATCCATTATTTGTTTCCAGATTCTAGCTATTATAAATAATGCTTCTATGAACATAGTTGAGCAAATGTACTTGTGGTGTGAGTGTGCATCCTTTGGGTATATTCCCAAGAGTGGTATTACTGGGTCTTGAGGTAGATTGATTCCAGTTGTCTGAGAAACTGCCACACTGGTTTCCAAAGTGACTGTACAAGTTTGAACTCCCACCAGCAATGGAAGAGTATTTCCCTTACTCTCCAGCATAAGCTATCATAAGTGGATATTAGATATAAAGCAAAGGATAGTCCATGACCCCAGGGAAGCTAGGCAACAAGGAGAACCCTAAGAGAGACATACATGGATTGCCTTGGGAAGGAGAAATAGGCAAGATCTCCTGAGAAAATTGGAGCATGGGGGTTGGGAGACAAGGGAGGGTGGAAAGGGAGGGGAAGATAGGGGAAGAGGAACATGAGGGAATGGGGTAGTAGAGATGGGGGAGGGACAGAAAGGGAGAAGAAAGAGATATTTTGATTGAAGGAGCCATTATGGGACCATCAAGAAACCTGGAACTGGGAAATTTCCCAGGAATGCATAAGGATGACCCCAACTAAGACCCTAAGCATTAGTAGAGATGGTACCTGAACTGGCCTTCCCTGGTAATCAGATTGATGGCTACCTGAATTATCATCACAGAACCTTCATCCAACAACTGATGGAAGCAGATGCAGAGATCCACAGCTAAGCACTGGGCCGAGCTCTCAGAGTCCAGTTAAAGAGGGGGAGGAGCAATAATATTAGCAAAGGGGTCAAGACCATTTTGAGGAAACCCACAGAAACAGCTGACCTGTGCTAGTGGGAGCTCACTGACTCTGGACTGACAGTGGAGGGACCTACATAGGACCAAACTAGGCCCTCTGAATGTTGGTGCTATTGTGTGGCTTGGGCAGTCTGTGGGACCCCAGAATTTATCCTTAGTATTTGAACTGGCTTTTTGATGCCCATTCTCTTTGGAGGGATACCTTGCTCAGCCCAGATACAGGGGGGAGGGCCTTGGTCCTACCTCAAAATAAGGTACCAGAGTTCTTTGACTCCCCATGGGAAGCCTTACCCTCTCTGGGGAGGGTGTGGTGGGGAGAGGTGGAGGGAGAAAAAGGAGGGGAGGGAGTGGGAACTGGGATTGGTATGTAAAGTAAGAAACTATTGTTTAAAAAATGATTTTTAAAAAGCCTCTTTCTAAGACAGAGGACAGAGGGTTGTTCACTAGAGGGCACTTTCTCTGAACTCAAAGTTCAGTCACTGTAGAGCAAATCCAATGGGCAGGAAACTTACAGCTGGGCAAGAAAGATGCTGTAATCCCAACAGTCGGAGGCTGAGGCAGGAGGAGCTCATATTAAAGGCCAGCCTGAACTACACTGTAAGTGTGAAGATAGGTTGAGGTACACAGCATAGGCCCTGTCTCCAAACAAAAGCTCATCTGGATAACCTCTCTAGTTAGTTTTGAAAATCAGAGTCAAAGTTTCAAAGACACATCGATTAGAAACAGCCATAACAAGTCATAAGATCCAAAACGTATACATAAGTTTTTCAACGCCGCTGCTTTCTAAAATGTGTTCAAAGGTTTGCCTTGCTCTCAAATGGCCATTTGGTAATAATTTTATTGGACTAAATAAAATCCCTATTTGCCGTGTCTTCAATAGGCTGCTTTGAATGTTTTCTTCAGTCACAGCTGGTGCCAATGTGTTGATAAAATGTCATTCAAGAAAGAAAATCCAAGAACACTGCTTTACAAGTCAGGTGTACAGGTCACATGTCAACCCACGCTTGCCAACAATACATAATCAATGGAGGCTTGGACAGTTGTACCTCATGGGATGGAGCTGATAAGTATTGAGCACAGTTTTAGACTCTTCCCCATGTGCTCTCTTCCAGTGCTTCTACTGTTGACACAATGACAATATGTCAGTGATTTCTTCTGCCTGTCACCAAAGAACATTACACAATGCCACTTTTTAAAATTACCACATACAAACTACTTTTTCTTGAATTGCTCTTTAGCCTTCATGTCCAAATAAGCAGAATTTGTGAAACTGGCAAAGAAAATTCTAGAGCTAAGATAGTTGAAGTGACTTACAGGGTAGAAGAAACAGATAAACTCATGACTTTCTTCTGAAGAGTCCCAATCACCTGGGCGTCAACACTAATAAAACCAGTGCTCTTGGCCCACCCAGTGTTTGCAGACCTTTAGTTCCCACATCAGGAGGAGAGACTTAGGTTCAGATAACAGGAAGCAGTAGGGTCCTCATGATGTCTACTGAGGACAGTGGGTCGTGGGCTGTCTCTGGAGCCTTGAGCTCTGAAAGAGGAAAGGACATCGATTCCAGGGTGTTGTGTGAAGTCTTATCATCACACAGAGTTAATAACGCTGATACTGTCAAGAGCTGAACATCTGCATTTTCTTACACATGGCTAGCTTTCAAATTTTTCCAGACCATATGTGGATTCAACATGGATTTGGCGATAGCTGCTATTTGATTTCTTGGTTTACTTTTTCTTTTAAGTTGGAAAGAGAAGAAAAAAAAAGCCAAATGAAAAGGATTACTTCCAGAAAAAAACACTTTAGTATGTCTTTCTTTTCAAATGATTCTTGAGTTTTTTGACTGTGTAATTTCCTGATGTTTTTGTTTAGTTTTTCTTAAGGCAGGTATGTAACTGAATAGCTACAAAATGATCTCATAGGGTTTTCAATAAGAGACAGTACATGATGCCAGTACAGTTTATATAAAACTAAAAGAATTTGGATATCAGAGTGACATAAAAGTATACATGATATACATACTCTTTTATGCCCTAAGAAGGTAGAGGCTCTACCACTTAAAAACTGGGAGAATAAGAAAGAAACTGGAGGGCTGGAGAGATGGCTCAGCCGTTAAAGGGTAGGCTCACAACCAAAAATATAAGAAAGAAACTGGAAGGAAAATGTATTCTATTCATTGCCATAGATCTGGAAAAAGTGATGTCATTTAAAATGACACCGTCAATTATACCATTATCCCTTTCCATATATAGGGCCCAATGTGTGTAAATATATAAGTGATCAAGAATAAGCAAGGCTATAACTGTAAAAACAGCAATGAGAGCAAAATAGAAACTCTTCCTAAGAGAAGAATCACATAGGATAAGCTAAATGAAGATGGCAGGGCCTGCCTCAACCAACACTGCATCCATTTACCTTGCCTCTGCTGCCCCACGAGAGGTTCTCAATTATTAGCTGACAGAGGAAAAGAAGATTCTATCCTCCATCACAGATGTTCTACATGATATGAGCACACCCCCAAGAGTAGACAGCTGCAGGACTAGAGTCCACCAGGGACATCCCAGGAAAACAATCCTGAAGAGAGACTCTCCTAGGAAGCTAAGTTCTTAAGCAACACATCCACTTGCTTAAGAAGAAAATGGCCAGAAGTCTGATTGTATTCTAATATATGGACTGTGGCCATAGCTTAATCAGATGATCTTGGAAGGAGTATGACAGGAATTTAGTGATGAGGAAATCTGAGAAGGAGGTAGGTAGATGGATTGATCTCTGACTGAACCAAAAAATTCCACCCCAAAACATGTTTCAGAATGAGAACATCTGTTCTCTATATGAGCACTCTCTGAAAGATGACATCATCAGAGAGGGAATATGTAGGTACCTGTCTCTTTCCTTCCACGTCCACCACTGTCTTTGACCAATGACATGAGGGACATGACAGATATGGTGGCTATGCATAGGCTTTGCAACTGACTTCCACTCATACAGGCTGCACTGAGGGTGGCTACTTTTGAGTACTCAGTCTGCTTGCATCACTGGCAAATTCTGAGTCCCCAAACAGCATCACTGGCGGGAACAGTCAGTCAGCTCTTTAGTGGCAGGTTGATTATTTCTTCCTTTGTGGATGTGAATTTGTTCCTCTGACATGCGGTATTTCTGCCAAAGAATGCCTTGTGATATTCCACAGGGCATTGCTTATAACCAAAGAGCTGACTCCATAGCCAAAGAAGTGCAGCCATGCTCCTCAACTTGTGGAATTCATTGATCTTGTCATGCTCTCTACCATCTTAAAACACTGGCTCTGTAGCATGGCTTAGTGGAGTAGCCTTTGAAAACGCAATCACTGCACGAGCTGCATGGAAATAACTTGCATGATGGGGTGATTTGATCCAAAGGGCTATGTATGCTCTAAATCAGTGTCCAATACATGGTGCTGATTCTCCTATTGCCATGATTCATGAGCCACACGCCAAGAGGAAACCGGAAAGAGGTAGCACACTTTCTTGCCTCCAGGATCCATGAGCAAAATATTTAGTTCCTATTTCCATAACCTTATATTCTGGAGGACTTATGGCGATGGTTTTGGAAGAAAACTTCTGCCTGGGGAAAAGCAATGAGTAAAATGAACTGAAAGTTAAGGCAGTCTCTGAACCAACAGGCAAAGAAGGGAGACACTATCTTTGTCCACAGAGTTTACTGACCTTGACCACTAAGGACAGTCTTAACTGCTGCTTCATAGTAAAGGTAAAGATGAGAGGCTGGATACAGGAGCTCTTGGGACATCCTTCAGCACGCTATGACTAAGATAAAACCACTCCAGTCCAATCTAGGATTAGTAACATGCCATTCTCTTTAGAAGATTTGGTTCAATTCTGGTAAAGAACTGTTAACAGCAGAGGAACTTGGCCAAAACAAGGGAGATACAGAACAGGAAGTGAAAATCCCAAATGCCTGCAGCAGTCACAGTCCCACAACACAGAAGTGAGTATTTCCTGATTTTCTGTGGGTGGAATGTAAACCATTCCAACGTGGATTTTTGTGTTAAATATAAGCACATTCATAACAAAGTAAAGAGACACAAACATTAAGCACTTTTGTCTTATTCTCTTAATGTTTGATTTTATGCCACATTATTGAGATATTAGTCTCATAGCACATTATTTGAGTTAGGAGCTATCAAGGAGAAATGTAAACACCATTGAAGGACTTAACCTCCTAATCAACTCTGAAGTTTGAATGGAGCAAATAAGGTAAGAATAAAGATTTCTCTCTCTCCCTCCCTCCCTCTCCTGTTATCCCTGTCTTTCCCCTTCCTTGCTTCCCCTTCCCCTTGATCTTGCCTCCGCCTTCCCCCTCGCTCTCTCCCCTTTCTTCTGCCTCCCTGACTAATCTGGAGCTAGGACACTGGTCTTCTGCCTTTAGACTGGATCTGGTCACAACGGGACTGTATACCATCATCTCTCCTGGTTCTGAGCCTTTATTCTCAAGACGGAGCCCATACCTACAAGTCTCCTGGATCTGCGGTTTCAGACATAGATTAGAACTGTGTGATTGAATCTCTTCTGAGTTTCTGAGTCTCTAACTTGCCCACCAAAGTCCTTGGAACTTTGTAAAATCCATAATATTGTGAGCCATTCCCTAATGATCTATCCTTATGTCTACCTCTGTTAATCTCCCACCTATCGTATTAATTTTATTCAGCTAGAGAATCTGTACTAATGTAGATTTATGAGGAACTGAGGAGGTTAAAGCTATCATTTTAAAAAGTGAGATTAAATACAGTAATCTTTCTAACTATCTGCAGAATCATACACCAAAAGGAATAGGAAAAATAGGTAGCAGGGTTTATATATAAGTCAGGCTTAAAAAATAGCCCACACATTCAGAAAATATAGCATTAGATAATGAAATAAAAACCAAACACAATCATCAGCCAAAATGATATGTGTACATAAGCTTAAGTAAAATACAGACAGGTTTCATACCACATTATTAAATCTACTATACACTGTCTTCAACATATATACCCTAAAGGTATGCTGAGTAGTCAAATGGATATGGCATATTCTGAGAATAAGAGACAGACACAAAGATGGTGATAGATAGATAGATACATAGATAGATATAGATAGATAGATAAAGGAGGATGGAAGAGAGAGAAAGGGAGTGACAGAAAGAGGATATACAGCAAATATTACAATCTACTAAACAAGAAGGTATACCTGAAATTAAGGAAAGAAAGGAACTTGATAATGCCAAGAACAATGCACAATAAACATACAACAATTAGAATTATCTAAAATCCAACTTAGCAAAAGGAACACAAAAAGGAATTGATACTTACTAATAGAAGAAAACTTTGTCCACTTTTCTAGGGACATGGCCTCAAGGGGAAAATAACATTCTATTTAAATGTTTGTGAAATATTCACAGAAATATTTGACACTTCTTTAATATGTTGCAAAAGCAGAAGTTTGGATAACATTCTTTACTCATTAAAAAACTACAAGAAACTAGAATAAAAACAGGAAACAAAAGCCAATATCATTTGATAAAGTCTCACTTAAATGCCCTTTACATCTAAGAGGAAAATACAAAACTAGAATTACTAACATCTAAAAATCAATGTTCATAAAACTACTGATGACTAAAGAAATACCAAGAGCAAACTATAGCTTTCAATATTTGATTTTAAACATCGAATAACAAGAATAAATGAATTCAATGTTCTACTTAAGAAGTTAAGAACTAAGGATAGGAAACAATAAAGCTAAAATAACTCAGTAAGTGGAAGTATAAACTAAAAGATGATACTCTGAAAAGTGTCAATGACATAGATAAAATGCTAGCCAACTTCATCAAGAAATGAAGAGTGTGCTGATAAAGACTAGAAAGAACCATTGGTGAGGGAAAGAGTCTTACAAAAGTGGGCTATTTTCTTTCTAGCGACTACTAAAACTGAACGCAGCATGCTCAAAACCCCTAGGTTCATCTTTCAGTACTAACAAAATATAGTACATGTTGTATCTATGCAACATACTTTTTTGTTTTTTTGGTTTTTGGAGACAGGGTTTCTCTATATTGTTTTGGAGACTGTCCTGGAACTCGCTCTTGTAGACCAGGCAGGCCACGAACTCACAGAGATCCGCCTGCCTCTGCCTCCCAAGTGTTGGGATTAAAGGCGTGTGCCACCAGTGCCCAGTTAACATACTTATACATATATAATTTACATAGACAAAAGAGAAATTAATCAAAGAGCTACCGTCACCTCTTGCCCATCTTAGTTCAAACAAGGAAAAGCATTAGCAAAGGGATCCTACAAGACCTTTGAAAACTAATTCTTTCTAATGCTACTTACACTGTTATAAAATACAAATTCCAAAGGAAGCAGGACAATGATGCAAAATCTAACAAAGTACATAAAAAAGAAAACTGTCTGTGGCCTTATTGAGGAAGTGTGTCACTGTGGAGGCAGGCTTTGAGGCCTCTTTTCCTCATGCTTCCCTGCATGTGACACACAGGTGACTTCCTGTTGCCTG